TCGTGCGCCTCTGTCTCCAGATACAGTCACGTTGGAGGTTGAGGCTTCAACACGTGAATTTGGGAGTCCACAGACATTTGGTCGAAGGGTATTATTTGGGACGGTCAGAAGATTCCGTTACGAGAACTTAGTAACTGTGTCACTTGGACTTCTCTGTGCCTAAATCTTCTAATTTATAAGACGATAACAGTAGCCATCTCTAGGGATGTGAAGATTTGCACCCCACCGGGAACACGGTGGGTGTAACGAGTGTTAGCTGTTGTACTTCCCCCCCGCCCCCCGCCTCACGGGTTTATGGCGTCACACGACATTTAGCCACCTCTCGTTATGAGACGGAAAGCAGGGACTGGGTCAGAATGGCAGGTCCTGGCAGGCTGTGGAAGACCTGAAACTCCAGAGAAGCAGCTCGGACTTTACTGGAGGATACGGGAGGGTTGCTGAAAGTTTTTTGAAAAAGGTTGATGTGACGGAGACTGTTGGGGGAAGGTGAGTGGGTGGATTGGCGGGGGAGCCTGAGATTCACCTGGTGCGCAGCTGACAGGTGTGCTGGTTCAAGGGCGGGCCTCGAAGGTCTTAAGCGGGAGAGGAAGGAGAGTCAGAAGGCCAGCGTCTTCACCGGGGCGCGTCCTCCCCGCGGCCTGTCGCCGGCGGCCTCCGTGTATTTGCAGGACAGAATTTAGTAGCTGGTCCAGCGTTTGGTGAGCTGTTGGAATTCTATGCTGTTCCCCATGGAGAAATGCACTTCTTCTTGCCTGAAATGTCTCTTGTTTATTAAGCTAAAGGCAAACTCTGCCTCCGGGAAGTTGGAATCAGTTCAGCTCCTTGTCTAGAGTTAGAGATGCGTGTTAAAAAAAAGCCGTGTTTGCACTTGGCATTTCATTAAATTCTCCTTCACAAGTTAATGACAGCACACACTTCGCCTTGTCACTGGGGCCAGGAGTTGGTTTTATGTGAGAGCTGTCGCTGTGGCCTCTCCCGCGCTCCCTCTCGTGACCCGCCCCTCGCCCCGGTCGCGGGGCTCTGAAGCTGGAGCGCCGCTGAGTGTCCTCGTCCTGGCCTGCTGCTCTCCTCGGATGGAGACCGTATTTTGGAAGACTCAGTCTTACATTTTAAAGAACAGTGACTTCTCTTGAATTACCTGGAAATCAAAGGTGGTTGGAATCTTAATGCTGGAAGATTTCACCTTTCTTTACAATTCCTAGTTGCCTGAGGCTTTCATGGATGTATGGGATTTTTAAGGCCAGGGGTTTTCTTGAACCCCGGTTTTTTCTGAGGCTGGTGTGTACGGAGGAGGGAGAGAGGAAACATGCCCCGCGAGCTCTGTGCCCGGGCTGTTCTCTAGGCGCTGCCAGTTCTCTCGGCCCCAAGAGGGGCTCGGACAGCGGCCCTGGTGTCCGGGCTCTGTGCCCACCTGTCTGTGGCCCCAGCTCCCAGCGGCTGTAATTGTCTGCATTTCTGGTCTTTCTCACCACACGTCTCCCGTCCTGAGGGCCGGGCCAGGGTCCTGTGGGTCTTTTAGCTCCAGCTCCAGCTCCAGCCTGGAGGTCAGCGCCCCCTCCACAGCTTGCTTTCCCTTCCTGCTCATGGGCAGCTCTTAGTTGGTTCTGTTTGCTGGCTTTCCTTTTCCTCCTGAGAGTACAGACCAGAATGGCTCAGGGCTCCATCCAAGAGCCTCTGTTTTCCAAGTTTCCTCTCTCATGAGGCTTTCTTATCTGCTCCGATGGATTCAATGACCATCTCCCCCACCCCACCCTGGCCAGACCTCTTCTCTGCACACCTGGTCTGCATATTTGCCTGTGCGCCCCGAAGGCGCTGGGTTCTGGGGGAGGTGGGCAGGTGACGCTGGGGGGACGTTTACTTGGCGGCTGCCGTTGCCCTTCCCCAGTGGTGGGGGTCTCCGTCTGTGCTCTTCCCCGTGAGGGAGAAGGCTTGGGCGAGGGCAGAGGTGGTGCAGTGGCTCTGGCCCCTCCCACTCAGCACCAGGAAGCATTCTCAGAATTTTTGTGTAACGAGTCCACACTTGTGCCCCTTACCGCACGACAGGTCAGTTAAGTTGAGAGACAGAGTGTTGGGGCAAGAAAAAGTGACTCGACTTGGAAAGCCAGCAAAGTGAGAACATGGTCGGCTAACGTCCTAAAGAACTGTCTTAATTTGGGGTAGAAGTCAAGCTTCGCTTGTGCCAGGCAGTGGGGAAGTGGGGGGCCTGCTCAGCTCGTGGACAGTCTTCTGATGAGTTGGGGGTGAGATTTCGGGGTCAACATCATCAGCCTCTGGCTTCAGCCTGCCTGGGGTCTACCTGCTGGGGGGCAACATGCAGTTTACTTCTTCCCCCCGGTGGGGGTTTCAGTCTCTGCCAGAAGCCTCAAGGACATGGCTCAGAATGTTACCTATAGCCCTCAGGGAGGAACTGAAGGGCCTTGACTGTCACACGGCTAAAAAATTTTGTCTTGCTTGACTTTTCCTTTGTTGCTGCATTTTCTCACTTCTCTGATTAAATTTGCTTTTGGAAGTTGGGAAAGGCCTAGTAGACTAAAACTTCAGACAAAAATTTTCAACAAACAAGAAGTGGGGCACATGTCGGAATTGGGGGGTGTCTGTCCCTGGAAAGGCCCGGCAGGACCCTGCTTGGTTACACTTTTCCTGGTGGGAAAGCCTGCGTGGCGCTGACCGCGGCCCCCCAGAGCCTTCCCGCTCCTGCCGTCCACACCCGGCCTTTAGCGCTTCATTAGCAGCGTCTAGCTGAACCTTTCCACTGGCTTTCAGGGCTTCCCCAGAGCCCACTTGGGCACGTTCGCCAAGGTCCTCCCCTCCGTAGGTCCCTGTCCACAGATTCCAGGTCAGTTTCCCTGTGACGTCAGTTCTCTGATCAGTTAATTTCCAGTCTGTCCAGCTTTTTTCTTATCTTAACGCTTTTTTTTTTTTCGGCTCTCTGCACCTCTGAGCTGAAATCAGAGGCCCCCATCCTGTATGTTAAACCAGGCCTCCGTCACTTTCGGATTGTGCTGGCCGTTTGTCAGACGATACACTCCTTTTGTTTTGTGTTCAGTGGCTCATGTGCTTCTGTTCTGAAGGAGAAGGCTAATGATGCAGACAGCCCGCCCACCGTTACACTTAGCCTGCATCACCCACCCACCGTCTGACTCACAGGTCGTACTTTCACAGCACGATGGCTTGGCCAAGGGAAAGGTCGGGCTGCTTCTGCTTCCTGGAGCTCTCGGGAGAGCCTCCGAGCGGGACCAAAAGCCGAGTTCTTGCCCCTGACATCTGTCTAATCACCTGCGGAGGTGCGCCGAGCCCCAGGCCCTGTTAGCCTGTAGATGGGACAGTTGACTCAGTTCTGATTGAAATTCAGGTTGGAAAATAACTTCCTAAGCCCCCGAGAGCGAGTACAGATTCAAGTGTTAGTCATGCCTCAGCAACAGGTGAGCCTGCCGCAGGCAGCCAGAGCCGGGTCTCCTGGACCGTCAATCTCAGCGTTCCCATTACTGCCTTTCCAGCCAGGCTGGTGGTGAGTCCCTGGGAAGGAAATTAGGTGGGTGTTCGGTAGAGGTGATCCGAGAGTTCTTTCCCCTCAGAGGGGAAGAGGAAGGGACCCTTCTCTGGGTCCCTGCAGGTTGGTATAGTGTCAGCTCGCTCTCTCGATGGCACCAGGTGCTGTCAGTTCCTTTTACTGAGACCTCCGGCCCTTTCTCCACGTCCACCAGCAGTGCTCTGCTTCAGGCCCTCATCATTTCTCACCTGGACCATTTCTCACTGGCCTCCCAGCAGCTCATCTGCCCCCTCCTCTCTGTCTTCCCCATTTTCCCTGCGGTCCTCCTTCCAGAGCAGAGTCTTCTGTGCCCCTCTGTGGCTGGACATCTTCCGGGGCTTTCCATTGCCCTCGGATAAAGTCCAGAGCGTGACTCCCCCTGCTGTTCCCCCTCGCTGCCTTTGTGTTGGGGGAACACGTGCGCTGAGTTACGTGCAGTGCTGACTAGCCGGGCGCCCTTAGGCTTGCTGCCTGGGTACAGCCTCTGCGCGCTGGCACCGCCTCGGGTCTTCAGCAGCTCTGCCCGGCTCCACCCTAGGTCTAGTGAGCTCACAGGCCTGGGGTGTGACCTGGTGGCAGGGTGTCTCAGTGTCCCCGGTAATTCTTAGAAGCAGCGAAGTTTGAGAATCATTGGCAAATTATCTTTCTTCTTGAAAAAACTAACACATGCTCCCAGTCTCAGGTTGCCTTCAGGCAGGCTCACCTGCTGCTTGTTCTCTGTCTCCTCTGGAGGGTTT